GATGACACTTCCATTTTTTGATGTATTTTTAAATACTTTTTTTCATTATAATAATATTTACAATTAAAATAATGTCAAAACAATATTTATTTTTTGCTTTTATTTAAGGAATATAATAACAATAAAGTATATATTAAATACTCTTTCAATTACTTTTTATGGTATTTATAAATTTGTTAAATAAAAGCTAGAGAAAGGAAGAAAAACTCTTTGACAAGAAAATTAATACCAACTCAGTCTCAATAAAAACTCTTTTTTCTTTTCTTTTCTCCTTCTTTCCTTTTAGTTTTTTCAGTAGGTTGTTGAGTTATTGGTGTTTGTAATATAGAACTAATAGTATTTCTTTTTTCTTTATTCAATTCTGTAATTGGTATTGTCGATGTGTCAATTGAAGGTTGGTTGTTAGATGTTTGTGAAACTGTAACCCTTTTAAGTTCTGCACTAATTTGTTTCTTTTTTAAATCTGATTTTATACATTTAGGTGCATCCCCTTCAATACCATATTTAATCCAATAGTACTGATACTTATTCGCTTCTTCATATTCAACAGAACTCTTTGGAATTTCCTTTCCTGTAAGACGAAGGATATTACCAAATCCATTACCAAACTGAATTAATTTCTTTATTTCTGATACTTGATATTCAGAGGTTTTATCAATAGTACAAATATTTGATGTATTTCGTATTGTTGGAAATAACGTATGAGCTCTACCACAAGCACAACAGAGAAAACAGCCATAATTTAAATCAACAAAACGAAGATCAGTAGAACCACAATCAGCACAAACTCTATTTGATGGAATACTTTCTAATCCTAACATTATATTTTTTACTGTTAGTCCTGCTATATCACTGTCAATTCCTTCAAATAAATCCAAATGAGTCTCTTCATAATCATAACTTCCAATAAATGATTGTCTAATATAAAAAACCCATAATAATGCTAATGAAGTACAACACATGTCAAATACAGATTTAGTTTTATCATATGTACCATAATTAATTAAAGAAATACATGACGGAGGTATAAAAGCAACACTTGTATACTTTGTAACAAAATAATCATTCACCCTTATTCTTTTAAATGCATCTTCTTCATTTGAAAAAGTACATAAAAATCCATTCCCTAAAATCATATATTTTCCATCAGAACCAATAGGACCTTTCCACCATATATCTCTAATAGTATTTTCACTTAACTGATTTTTATATTCTTTATAAAATGAAGGTAATGAATTATTAGAATGAGAAATTGTAAGTAAAGACTGTTCTTGTATTTGTGAAATTTGATTATCTAAATCAACAATCCAACCCATTTTTTCTTCTTCATTAAGACAAAGAAAATAAACTGTTTTACCTGATTTATTAACAATGAGAAATGTAGGAGATAATTCGATTTTAATTGAGTCTAATACACAAAATGATCCAATTGGAATAACTGATTCAACTGTCAGTTGTTTTTTACTTTCACAAATTGTTTGAATAGTTTCAGTAAATATTTTTCCTTTATGTGAAGTTCCAGCACTATTAATTTTAGTTAAAATTATTGTGTCATTAAATAAAAATAAATAAACACTTCGATATTTTGTTTTTGCTTCTGGTTCATAAATAGTTATAAGACCAAAACGAATAAATTTTCTTGAGGCGTTTGGTTCTATTGGATTCATACCTTGAGAATATTTAAATTTATTTGTTAATTTACCAATTAGTTGTTGAGTTTCTAATGTTCTTTTACTTTCATTCATAACTATTCCAATATCAGCTATTGCTTGTAATGAATTATTTAATGAATTATATTCAGAATGTTGAGGAGGTAATGTTTTTAGAAGTTCTTGAAGTAATAAACGATATCTTGGAATTCTTTGAACAGGAAGAATAACATAAGAATTAAAAGTGTCTAAACTATTAATTCTTCTAATTTCATTTAATGCATAATCAAATTGTTTATTTGTTTTTCTTAATTTTTCTTCATGTTCATTAATAGCCTCAGTTGAATTAACATAACTACAATATGTTTTTAAAAAATGTGCTAATTTTTGAAAAACATCTCCTATTCCTTGTCCATAATAAAACTCTTTTTTTTGAAGTTCAAGAACACTTTGATACATCATTTTATTATATCCTAAAATTACTATAACATCTTCTTCACATTTTTTTAATATTTTATCAGTTGGATAAATAGTTAATGCAGTTTTAAGATAAAAGTCTAAAAATTGTTGTAATTTATTGACATAAACTTCTTCTGTTTTTATTAATTCTTTAACTACATTCTTTCTTTGAGCTAATAGTCTCATTGTTGATTTACTTGATTTTCTACTAAGAAATCCATATATTCTTCTTTGAATATCTTTAACAAGATTAATATCATATTCTTTTTCATTCCATTTCTTCTCTTTAAAATTTTCTGAATTGAATATTTGATTTTCTTCTATTTTTTGATTAATTTCATTCATTTTTTCATCGTTATTTGATTCATTTTCACTATGTATTTTATGTTGTAATTTCTTTGGTTTTTCTGGAACTTTTGGTGGTTGAAGGAATATCTCATCATCTTTTTGTTCAGATGGTATTTTTTGGTCTAATTCTTTTGATTCTTTAATAATAGGTGATTTAATTTCTTCTTCTGTGTTTGTTTCTTTAATAATTGAAAGATTTTCTGATTGAGTCTTTCTAATTTTTGAGTATTTCTTTTTTGTTTCAATACCTTTGACTTCCTCAGTTTGACTTGGTTTATTTTCTTTTTTTGGAGTAATTTGTTTTTCTTGTTGAATTTCTTTTGTTTGTTCTTCTTCTTGAATGTTGTGTATTTTTTTAGTGAATGATTCTGTTTCATTTTGTAAACGAGACTGGTATTGGATAACTCTATTCATTGTATTTCTTCCTAATGTTCTTCTTTTTTGAATTTTTGTTCCTGATTTTTGACCAATGAAGAATATAAGACTTAAAAACTGTTGAATTTCTCCATTGGCTAAAAGAGTTGCATCTGAACCTATTGGTTCTCCATAATTTTCTTTTATCATTTTAAGTAACACATCCATATTTTGCTGTATTTGAAAAATATTTTTTGGATTACTGTTATATCTAACTGCACTTTTATGAGTAAGTTTTTCAACTATTTTAATTAATTTTATTCCATTTTGTAATCCACTGAGAAGGTCAGTTATTGGTTCATCTTCCAGTTGTTTATTGATCCATTCAATACAGTCTTTGTATTCTTCTTCTTTATAATTCATACTTTTTCAAAAAGAAAGTTTTACTATTCTTTTGGAGTTCAAAAAAAAGAAACAAAAAACCAAAAATTGTGATGAACTTTACTCAAAGAATTTTGCATTCAAGATTTTTAAAAAGTTATTTTGCATTTCATTTAATCTAAACAAGAAACTATTTTCGAATAAAAAAAATATATATAGATATATAAATCAATGTAGAATTGAATTGTTCAATTGATTCTTTATCATGTATCATTGTTTAGCGTAATATATTTTTTTTTTAATTTGTTTTGTTTACTTTTTCAAGAGAAGTAAAAAATTTAATAATAAACAAAGTAGTAAGTCCAGCAAAGAGAAGACAAATTATTCCAAGAAGAATTAAAAGAGGGACATTACCAGGTAATCCTAATATTCCCTTTTTCATTGAAATAAAATAAGTAACTCCTTTATTTAATTCTTCAGTATGAGTAGTACGTCCCATATAAAGTAAAGTAACATAACAAATAAATGGATTGCATTCAGTTTTATTATCAAAAAGAACACAACCATTATTATTAGTTTTAAATTGTAAATTAGATTCATCTAAGAAAGTTGTATTAGTAGAATAAAGTTTTGGTTGAAATAATGAAACTCCATAAATTGTTGGAATACTTCCAAGTGAATGAATTTTAATTTCATACATTGAATTTTTATCTAATTGAAGTGGATTAATTTGATAAATAATTGTAGTATTATATTGTTGAGTATTTTTAATTGTAACGTCAGGAATAAGTTTTTTATTTTCTTCTGCAAAACTTAATGAAATAAATGAAATAATAAATAAAAGAATATAACAACTCATACTATCAAGTCAAATGGGTTTTATTATTTTATGTTCTTTTATTTACTTTTTTTTATTAAATTAATAAAAATTATTTAATATTCTTTTTTTTTATTTATTTATTAATATAATTTATTTGAAAGTTTTATGCTACAAAAATTTAAACAACATGCTTCTCCTTTAGAAATAGAATTAGCTTGTATCTTTGATGAAGAATTAAATGAACCGTTTGTTAATTGAAATGAAAGTAAATAATATCTTTTTTTTATTAAAAATGTAGTGATTTACTTTTTGTTAAATCATTTGATGAATTAATTGCACTTTGCCAAAAACATAAACAATCAATTAAACCAAATATTGTACGTTCTTTTTTAATAAATTATTCATCTTTTGTTTCAAATGAACTTGTTCAAGAAAGAAGTGCACTTGAATTATTAGAAGCAATAAATACACCATTAAGTTATGGTATAGTATCATTTGATAAGTATTTTCCATCATTACAACCCTCTGGAATTATTGAAATAGCAGGAGAGGCAGGTGCTGGAAAGTCACAAATATGTATGCAAATAATAGTATTAGCAACATTGTGTTATAAAATACCTTGTTATTATATTTGTGATAAAAGATTTGTTTATCAAGAAAGAATCGACCAAATAGAACATTACTTTGCTCAACTCCTTGATTTTAATCCAGTTGGTGTAAACTCATTTTTACAAATACATAAAATTCAATCATTTGATGATTTTGAACAAACACTTTGTTCATTAAAAGAAACTAATGAAAGTGGATTAGTTATTATTGATTGTTTTGGAACTATTTTAAAAACTTCTTTTGAAGAAAATTATAATGAACGAAGTGTTGGAATTAGTAGAACAGCAACAATACTCAATGAACTTAATGTCCAAGGGTTTGTTGTTATTACTACTAATGAAGTTGTAGATAAAATAGAACTAACAGAACCGATACCATTTGAATTTCTTGAATTGTATAGTGATTTAAAAACACTTCAAATTAGTACTGGACTTGATATAAATTGTGATGGAAGGGTAATGACAAGTTCAAGTGGAATTCAATGGGCATATTTTGTTACACATCGACTTTTTGTTTATAAGACAGAAGAGAGTCTATTTTCTGCATGGGACACATTGAGCGAAACGACACAACAAGAATTAGATGAGATTGATGATGAAATGAGATCTAATATTAAAATTAGAAAATGTGTTATTAATAAATCAAATGAGAAAGAGAAAGGAATTTGTCTTGAATATTGTATACTTCCTTCTCATGTTTGTGGAATTGAAAGAAGACAACCAAATTAATGAAATAGTCCATATGTTGTTTTTTTTATGAAGTTAATTTAAATGAAGTTTCATTCATTGTATTTCTTCTGTGAGTAAAAAAACATTTGTTAAATGACATCAAAATAGAATGAGGATGAAACAGAACTAATCTTCTTGTAATTTTTACAAATCATTAGAAAAGGGATGAAAAAAATCCTCCTTTTCCTTTTCATCAAAAATAAGACAAGAGCCAAGGTACTACAGATGACGTGGGCATGACTATAAAAACAACTCTCATCAAAGAAATTATTTAGTTTTAATGAAAGTAATCATTATACTTTTATTAACTTTTCTTATTAACATTGTTTTTGGTGGTTATTGTACCCAAGAAGGTTGTAATGAAACATTGTTAGACAAATATTATTCAAGGTTTAGTCATTATAACATTAGTATTGAAGCTATGTTAAAAGAAAAAGAAGAGTTTAAAAAACAATATTCACCTAATAATGAATATGGTTATAATAATACTATCGAAGAATTTGTTGCTGAAGAACTTCAAGATCGTTTAGATAATAAAATCTTCTTCGATTATACTGCTAATGGTGTATATACTAAATCACAAATGAAAAAAATATTTGAGAATTTAAATTCTAAATTTTATGCTAACGCACATTCACATAACAGTGTTTCAAGTAGAACAGATAATGCAGTTCATGAAGCTCGTCAATTAATTTTAAAAAGATTCAATGTTACATCAGCTGAATATACAGTAATTTTTACAGCTGGTGCTACTGGTGCACTTAAATTAATTGGAGAGAGTTTCCCATGGACAAATAACTCTAAATTTATGTATTTAAGACAAAACCATAACAGTGTTCTTGGCATTAGAGAATATGCTTTAGAACAAGGAGCAGAATTTAAAACAGTTACTGAAGAAGAATTAACATCTGAAGGATGTGAAAATTTATTTGATGAAAAATGTGATGGAATTCCAAAAGTACTTCGTAAGCCAACATTAACAGAATACCCAAATAAAGTTTATAATTTATTTGCATTCCCTGGAACTGAGAATTTTGCAGGAGTTAAATATCCATTAGAATGGATTAATAAATTTGGAAATGAAAAAACTGGAAAGAATAATAATTGGTTAGTTTTATTAGATGCTGCTGCATATCTTAGTACTGCTAAATTAGACCTTAGAAAATATCCAGCTGATTTTGTTGTAATGTCTTTTTATAAAATTATGGGATATCCTACTGGAATTGGAGCTTTGTTAGTTAAAAATGAAGTAATGGATTTAATGCAAAAGAGTTTCTTTGGAGGAGGAACTGTTGTTATGAGTGATTGTGATACTCATTTTTGTTTATTACATGAATCAGGATGTCAACGATTTGAAGATGGAACAATTAGTTTCTTATCTATTGCATCATTAAAATATGGATTTGAACAACAAGACCATTTTGGAGTACAAAACATTCAAAATCATGTTATGTCTATTGTTGATTATTTGTATGACAAACTAAGTAAATTAACACATTCTACTGGTCTTCCAGTTTTTGAGATTTATGGTAAACATGCTAAACATGACCATTCTATTCAAGGTCCAATTATTAATTTAAGTGTTAAAGATGAAAAAGGTAATTATATTGGATATTCTATTATTGAAAAGAAATTAGATGAAGCTGGTTTCCAAGTTAGAACAGGATCTTCTTGTAATCCAGGTGCTTGTTATGGTTATTTAAATATTACTTCTGACGAAGTTAAGAAATTTAGTTTATTAAGAAATGGATGTGGAGATGAACATGATATTATGGAAGGAAAACCATTAGGAGGTGTTCGTGTTTCATTGGGATATCTTTCTACTTTTGAAGAGGCATATGCTTTGATTGAATTCTTCAAACAAAATTTCCAACACTAAAATTGAATATTTTTTTTAATTTTATTAAGTTTAAATTTTTAAGATTTTTTTTTTGAAGTTTTTGATAATTTTTTTAAAATTGTAATTAGTTAAAATAGAAAATATTAAAATCAAAACAAATGGATAGTTTTATACAAAATAAAATACTAAAAAAAGTATAAATTAATAAAAAAAAATAAAATAAAATGTTATAAAAAACAAAATAATATACCATTATAAAAAAATAAATTCTATAAAATTTGTTTCAAAACTTAAAAATAGTAAATTTTTTTTGTTTATGAGCAAAGGGATTGAGATTAATAAAGAAATTCAATTAAAATCTGAACAATGGAAAATACCAGGAAGAGCTCCACCTAGTGTTATTGCAGAACGTGGAATGACGTTAAAAGAATGTGAATCAGCACATAATTTTATTTCTGAAACAATCAAAAAATTAAGTAATCTTGATAAATTAATATTTTATGATCAATACACTGATGACTTAACACCTGAATTATTATATAAATATCAAACAACAGATGTTTGTTCTTTTAGAGTAAATAAATTTATTAAAGACAATATTAAAATAATACAATGATAATAAAACAATGATTTAGTAATAGAAATGTTATACTTTAATCTTACCAAAAGAAATCAGTTATCAATGTTTAGATTGTTCTGATGGAGATCTTCATTCATTTATTCTTTGTAGTGAATGTGCAGAAGAACATAAAAAAGCTGGACACCTTCTTTTGCAACATATGAGCAATGATACAGAAATATGTCATTGCGGTGATATATTTTTAGAAAAGTCGAAGATTAAAGTATGTCATATCCATCAACATAATTCAATTCAAGTTAATGCATCAGATGAATCAAGAACTACTGAGGAAATTAATGCTATTAAAAAAAATGTTGAAGAAATATTTAATAGAATTGAAATTATGGCTCAACTTGTTATTCCAGAAATGGTTATTCAAATGTGTGATAAAATTCTTGATGTTCTTTCTAAAAGATATGAACCAGATATTAGAGTTTTTGTTTTACATATTGTCAGATGGTTAAATAGAGTTATTAGAATAAATCCAATAAGAAAAGTTATTAAAGAAGTATTTAAAACAAAGATTAAAACAAATGGTAGGTTCTTATTAACTAATTCAATTGAAGAATATCAAAAAAATAATTGTTTGTATGTAAAAAGAAGAAGTCAAACTGAGTTAATTAATACTGAAGTAACTGCACATGAAATATTTCTAAATCTTTGTATTATGAATCAACCAACAAGTTCATATGTAGCAAGACTATTATATTTAATTTTAGATGAAGAAAATAAAAATGACTTTCTTCCAGAATATCGTAGGGCATATGCAACAGTAGCTTTTCATGGAACATATTTACCAAAACATTTAGGTATTCTATTAGATACTATTGATATTAAAACAATCATTCCTCATATTTTAAATTTATTAATTGTTGTTATAAATGAAAAAAAACCTTTAAAAGATAGAAATGCTATGAGTCAATTTGTTTCATGGTTATTAGCTGATGAAGATAATATTCTTGATATTATTCAAAACGAAAATAATTTGACTACATTTATTGAACTATGTGATCAACTTACTTTCTATCCAACTCCATTAGACAAAACAACTAGTTCTGTAATGAAATTATTCCATCCCATATTTATTGCCGTTATGACACGAATTCAAATTGTTTCTTTTAAAGATTCATTTCAACGAAACAATGAAGAAGAAAATAATTCAGAAAATGAATTAATTAAAATGCATAGAAGAGTGTCTTTACTTATTGGAAAATATTTAAAAGAACATGCAGAAAATATTGTAAATACATTAAATAAAATTGTTTTTGGAAGAGACCAAGGAAAAACTCAAATGAATAGGTCTGTAATTCCATCCCATTATTATTTATTCAGTCTTATTGGATGGATTGCAAACCAACTAATGATTCAACCTATTCCAAATGAATTAACTAATGACGTATTTCAATTCCTTGAAATTGGAACTAATGAAGATATTAAAATTTATCTTCAATTCTCTTATTTGATTTATACTATATCACATGATAAAATTTATTTTACAAGTATTCTTGAACTTAAAAATAACAAAGCTCCTCAATGTGAAGTTCAAGATTATTTTGGTGAATTGACTTATCCAATTCTTTATTCTACATTAATATTTGTTTCTCATGCTTGTCTTCTTTCATTAGGTGCAAATAGATTTGTTGATTTTTTAAGAGAAATCGCTTATGTTCAAGAAGACAACCTTACTAACCAAGAACTTTGTGTAAATGCAGTAATTCTTGACTTTATTAATGTCATTTGTACGTTTAGTAGATTTGGTCAAACACCAGAAGTAAATGAGACTGGTTTTCTTAATTATTACCTTTATAATATAAAACTTTGTACTCCAGCTAATTCAGTTAATAGTCAAGTCAAAGAATATATTGGAAATGCTTTACTTATGGCGGAACAAACAAATAATACTCAAAAAATTCTTACAAAGAATGCTGTCCCAATAATGAAATCAAGTATCAAAATCACTCGTCCAACAAGTAAATCTTCAAATGATAGAATGTGTTTAAAGAAATACAAAGGTGAATGGTCCAAGAAAAGTATAGATTCAAGACTTTCTATGTCTATTATGAAAACAACTTTTGAAAAATCATTTAAGAAAACTGTTTCAACCAAAGAAGAAAGTACTTTTAGTAAACACGATATTACCCAAGACTTATTAACTAATTCTGACATAACGATTTATCAATTTAGAAAAAAGTGTGACAATGAACCACTTGGAATTGATCAAAGTATAGAAGTTAAGAAAGAAGAAACTACAAAAGAAGAATATCAAAAAATGATGATAAAATTACGTATGGAACAAAAAAGTATGACTGAAATCAAAATAGATCAAACTTCATTTGAATGGCCTGAAGTAGCCATTGACCCTACTAAACGAATAAACCAACCAGATTTTTTCTTTCCATTTGTCAATGCCAGTTGTTCAATTTCATTTAAAATTAATGTGATTAATAAATTCTTATTAGAACCAATTTCACAAGGAAGAAGAGAAGCATTTTTATCATTCTTAAATCCTCGTTTTACAATTGGTAATTTTTGTGTTAATCTTCAATCAAGAATCAATGACTTATTGAGCGATAAAAACTTGAATAATGGATTATTATCTAAAACTAAAATGATTAACACTACAAATTATATTTTCATTTTAAGGTTTTTATGGATTTTAATTGTTCATCGTAGAGCACGTGGTATTACAACTAATGACATCTTTTTAAATCCTCATTTTGTTAAGTTACTTTGTACATGTTATGGTTATTTCTTTGCAGACATTTTTATGCTCATTCCTGAAAACAGTGTGGAAGGTCTTTTAAGAGATATCACAGAATTATTTTCTAAAGAACCTTTCATTGTTCCTGTTACAATGTCAAGAACAGAAAAAGTAATTCATCCAATTAAATATTTTATAAGAGCCATCTTAAAGAATCCTATTTCAGCTTTCTTCTTTATAGATGAAAAAGGTCAAAAGAAAATAGCAGAAATTAATCCATTAAGTACAGGAATCACTTCACTTTTTAATGAAATTGCAAGTCAAGTGTTAGTTTCTAAGAAAAAAAAGTAAAAACAACAGCTATTAATTAAACATTTCTCATTATTGTTTATCTCTTTGTTTGATTATTTTTTCTTATTCTATTACAAAAATATTTTATTTAATTAGTAATTATTATTTCTAATTTTCTCTTTGTTTGTTGTAAACATATCATAACTAACAATTGTGCACTACATGTCGGAATTAATATAAAGTGATCAATAATCAACAATTTAATTTAATCGTACAATACATTAAGAAATTAATAGAACACATAACAAACTTTATCCATAATGAGTAAAAATTTTTTAAATAATTTCTCTTCTTAAAAATGTCGTCTAATATCAAACGTCTTTCAACCCAAATTATATTACTTTGGAAAACGAAAACATAGTCTCAACTTAACTTTTTTAACACAACGTTACTTTCTTATTGAGAATAGTCTTATTGACCATAACATTAAACCAATAAACCTTATTACTAAACACCAAAATAAGAAGAATAAAT